CATTTCTCCAGCCCCTAAAATAATTTTTTTGAAAGGTTTTTGAAGGGTGAGTGGATTCCCATGCTGTTCTTTCAAATGAATGAATGTTTTCCATTGCCTTTTCTCATTGTATATTAGGCTCTACAGTAAAAACTAGGGTTACTGGGATGAGGAACACAGATCAGTTGTAGATTACCTACCAAGTACCCATGAGCTGGTTTTAGTCCTCAGGACTGCAAAGTTAAAAAGAAAAGGGGTGGGTGGAAATATAGTTCAGTGGTAGAGTACTTGCCTAGCAGGTGCAAGGCCCTGAGGTAAATCCCCAGTACCACCAAAGCAAAACAAAACAAAGATAACAAAAGAAGAGGGCTGTTGCCAGCAAGAAATTTGAAATTACATGGTGACAGGCAAATGACTACAAAATGGTATAAAAGATGGAATACCAGAGCTATGAGCAAAGTAAAATGAGAACAGATAAAGGTGTTTCTAAGTCTGCGTAAATATTAAGATAGCTAACATTAAATTTTTCTATGGAAAATATACTTCTAAGTTTACTTGTAAGTGCAGAACACCAAACTTCATTTTTGTTTTGGGGTGTGCGTGTGTGTGTGTGTGTGTGTGTGACAAGGTTTCATATAGCCCATACTTCCCTTGAACTCTATGTTGCTGAAGATGACCTTGAACTGTCTTCCTGCCTTTATCTCCTAAATGCAGGGATTACAAGCATATGCCAGCATGCCTGGTTCAGAATACAACTCTATAAATCTCTATGCCTACCCTTCTTTAGGCAAGATTGTAATATTTATTTCCTCGTGGCTTGATGCTGTTGAGACAGTCTCTCACAAAGAAATATGTGAAGGAGCTTTAAGTATACCGGTCCTGGGGCTGGGGCTGAGGCTCAGTTGGTAGAGTGCTTACCTGCATAAAGGAAGCCCTGGGTTGGATCCCTAGCACTTCATAAAAGCTGGGTATGCTGGGGTCATTCTTGTAAAATTAGAAATTCAAGGTCATATAGGCCAGCCTGGGTTACAAGACAGCTTGTCTCAACAACACTGCAACAAAAACAAAAAGAAGCCAGGCATAGTGGCACATACCTTTAATCTCAGCACTTGGAAGACAGAGGCCAGCCTGTTCTACCTATTCATTTCCAGACCAGCCAGAGTTCATACTGAGACCCTGTCTCAGTACAAAACAAAACAAACAAAATAATTGAGATTTTTTTTTCCCCCAAAGGAGCATTACTATGGCGGAGAGAACCTGTGGGTTGTTTATAAAAGTGAGTGTGTTTAGTCTGGGAACTATAATTATTCTTTTCTCCTTGTTGCCAAATACTGGAGAAGTAGGTAATACAATGTGCCATTTACTTTGAACCTTGAGCTGGTCTTATATAAAACTAGTATAGCAATACTATAGACTTATGAAATAAATAGCATACTCTCTAAAACTTAAAACTGTTTCCAAAATGATACTTTTCCCATTTGTATGATCTTTCCAAGGGTGTTTAATGAACAGAATGTAAATTGGCTGATCTTGGAATGCTTTAACAATGATTCCCATAATTTTTTTTTCAGCTAAATTACATATTTATCAGCCTTAGGATCAATGTAAAAATGTTTTGCATTTTATTTTTATTCCCATTTTAGAAAAAAAACTGGTTTCTGAAATATAAATGCCTTGGAATTAAATAAAATCAGTAGTTTTTAAAAAATATTTAAAGAAGCCAGGTGTGGTGGTGCACACCTTTGATCCCAGCACTTGGGAGGCAGAGGCAGGTGGATCTCTGAGTTCCAGGCCAGCCTGGTCTACATAGTTTGTCCCAGGCCAGCTGGGGCTACCGAGAGATGCTGTCTCAAAAAAGACCAAAAACAAAAACAAAAAAACAGAGTAATAAATTGGAGCTATAGGCAGGTCAACCTTTTTTATACATTTGTAAAATGAAGGGTCCAGATTAGAGGTTTTAAGTATTTTTTTAAAGATTTATTTTATTGTGTGTGTGCGTGCACATGCACAAGTCATGTTACTATTGTGTAGGTCCAAGAACAACTTGGTGGAGTCTGTTCTCTCTTTCCACCTTTACGTGGATTCTGGGGATTGAATTCAGATTGTCAGGTTTGCATGGCAAGCACTTTTACCTACCAAGCCATCTTGCTGGCCCAAGATTGTTTTTCTGTCAGGATTTCAGTGCATCCTTTTCCCCCTTTTGTCTCTTGCTTATTCCCTAGATCACTGACTTCATTAATAAGCAAACACTTCTGTGTATAATCACAGAGGATAACATATTGGTTGTTTTCCTTTATATATGTATATATTTTAAAATTATACATATTTAATATTATAGCTTTCTTTTTTGGAGAGTTTCATGTGTTCCAAGTTTGTTTTGAACTTGTTATATATAGCTGAAGATGACCTTTAATTTCTGGTTCTTCTGCTTACACTTTCCAAGTGCTGGGATTACAAGTATCAACAACCCACCTACTTTTTATGCAGTGTGTGTGCGTGTGTGTGTGTGTGTGTGTGTGTGTGTGTGTGTGTGAAAAAAAAACTTATATTGTTCCTTCCACCGTGTGGATCCTGGAGATTAAACTCAGGTCATTGGGCTCTGTGGCATACATCTTTATTTGCTGAGTCATCTATATCCAAAACAGCCCTAGTTTTAATTTTTAAAAATATTTTAAATTTGTTTTTGATTTATTTCAATTTTATGTGTATGAGTGTCTTGCCTGCATGTAAGTGAACCTATGTGTGCAGTGCCCACAGAGGCCAGAAGAGGGTATTGGATTCCCTGGAACTGGAGTTATGAATGGTTGTTAGCTGCCAGATGGGTGCTGGGAACCAAATGTGGATCCTCTGTAAGAACAGCCAATTCTTTTAACTGCTGAGCCATCTCTCCAACCCCTAGCTTTAAGTTCTTTTTTTTTTTTTTTTTCTTTTTTTGGTCTTTTTGAGACAGGATCTCCCAGTAGCCCCAGCTGCCTGGAACTCACTATGTAGACCAGGCTGGCCTTGAACTCACAAAGATCCGCCTGCTTCTACCTCTTGAGTGCTGGGATTAAAGGCATGCACCACCACGCCCAGCTTTAAGTTTTTAGTAGAGCATATGTATTATGGATATTGGTGGTTTTATGGTTTTTATATACTTTTTATATCTACAAGTTCAAAATGAGTGTAACACATATTATTAAAATACTCAAAAAATATGAAAAGAAAGAATAAAGTATGCTTACTAGTATATTTTGTAGTTTACAAAATAATGTATGTGTACTGATTTTTAGTTCCAGAAAGCCGATTCTGATTTGGATTACATTCAACACAGGCTAGAATATGAAATCAAGACTAATCATCCTGATACATCAGGAGAGGTAAATGCAAAATAAGTAAACTTTTTTTAAAAAATTTTATTATTTTTATTTTCTGTATATGAGTGTGTTGCCTGCATGTATGTGAGTACACCCATGTTGTGCAATGCCACAGAGGTCAGAGAGGGCTTCAGATTCCTCTGGAACTAGAGTTAAGGACGGTTAGTAGCTGCCATGTGGGTGCCGGGAATTGAACCCGGGTCCTCTGCAAGAGCAGTCAGTGCTCTTAACCGCTGAGCCATCTCTCCAGCCCCAATAAGTAAACCTTTTTAAGTGACTATTTTGTTACAAAACACTTTCTGGTAGTATTTATTTTTTGTGTATAATTGATTTATTTTTATTTTATATGGATGAGTGTTTTGCCTTCATGTAAGTACACCACTTGTGTACAATACCTGCAGAGGCCAAAAGAGGGCATTAGATCCCCTGAAACTGGAGTTACAGGTGTTTTTTAGCCTCCATGTGGATGCTGGGAACTGAAACTAAGTCCTCTGTAAGAGAAACCTCTGAGCCATCTCTGCAGCCCTTCCTTGTTTGTTTTTTGAGAATCTCACTATGTATCCCTGGCAGGCTTGGAATTTGCTATGTAGATCAGGCTGGCCTGGAATTCACAGAAATAGGCCTGCTTCTGTCTTCCAATAGAACAATACTTTATAAATACTGTATAATTAATGATTGTGAAGTATACATCAAATGTTACATCTAGAATTCATAAGGCTGGAGAGATGGATCAGTGGTTAAGGGTCCTACTTTTGCAGAGGACCCAGGTTTGATTTCCAGCACCCATATGGCAATTAACAACCATCCATAACTCCAGTTACAGGGGGATCTGACAGCCTTGTCTAGCTTCTGTGGGCACTGCACATATGGTACATGTATATACATACAGCCAAAACATTCATACACATAACAATTTTTTTTTGTCTTTTTGAAGCAGGGTCTCCCTGTAGCCCCAGCTGCCCTAGAACTCACTATGTAGACCAGGCTGGCCTTGAACTCACAGAGATCTGTCTGCCTCTGCCTCCCAAGTGCTGGGACTACAGGCGTGCACCACCACGCCCGGCTAACAATTTTTTTTTTTAATGTTATATGTGTTGGGCATGGTGGTGCATGCCTTAATCCCTGCATTCAGCAGGCAGAGGCAGGAGGGTCTCTGTGAGATTGCGGCCAGCCTGGTCTACATAGTGAGTTCCAGGCCAGCTGGGGCCACAAGGAGATCCTGTCTTTTCAAAAAAGTGTTCTATGTATAAATCAGGCTTATTTTGTTAGTGTATTTATGTCTCTTATTATATTTGTTATTTATTACTTATGTATCTAGGCTTTATGTTCTGTAAGAACAGGATCTAGATACTTCTTTACTCCCATCCTTCTTCACAGTTCCCTAAATATCAACAGTGTCCAAGTAAATGGGTAGTAGAATGGGTCATATTTTAATTGTTTTTTGGTGTTTTTGAGACAGGGTTTCCCTGTAGCCCCAGCTGGCCTGGAACTTCCTATGTAGACCAGGCTAGCCTCAAACTCAGAGATCTACTTGCCTCTGCCTCCCAAGTGCTGGGATTAAAGGTGTGCGCCACCATGACTGGCTCATATTTTAATTCTTAAAAAGAAAGTTTTTTTCTACTGCATGTTTTAATATATATTAACTCTTTTTTCCCCCTGATTTAGAAAAATCCAGTTATAGTTTTAAAGGAATTGTCAGCAGTAAAGTCTCGATATCAAAGTTTGTATGCTCGCTTCAAACCAATTTCTATTGAGCAAAAAGAGACCAAGAATCGCATTTGTGCTACTTTGAAGAAGACAATGACTGTGATAAAAGAACTACAGAAGCAAACAGACCTGGAGGTAATGCTTTCAGTTGGACGCTTGGCTTTGTAGTTGTTCTCAAAGATAAACCCCAGTATGCTGGATTTTCCAAATTCAGCAGTCAGCTTGAATGGTTGATAGAAATGAAATTTTCTTGATTCTCTAAAACATAATAGCTATTTTTTTAAATTAAGTAAAAAATTTTGATTACATCTACTTTGTGTATGGGGACACACATTCACCACAGTGTACTTGTGGAGGTTAGAGGATGATTTGTAGGAATTAGTTTTCTCCTTCTACAATTTGGATCCCTGAGATAGAACTCAGGTTGTTGGGCTTATATTTATGTGTTAATTTAAATTTAAACTTATTTTCCAGACAGGAAAGTTAATTAATTTTAAATAAATTTAATTTTATTTTTGACTTTGCAGCCCTGGCTGGCCTAGTATTTATTATGTAGACCAGGGGGCCTTGAACTCACAATGATCTGCCTGCCTCTGCTTCCCCAGTGCTGGAATCAAAGGCCTGTGTTGCCACACCCAACTTTTTCAAAAAGGATTTATTTTTTAAATTATGTGTATGTGTATTGTGAGGGGGGTGGGATGTACAGGTGCTCACTGAGGCATCTGATCCCCCTAGATCTGGAGTTACAGGCAGTTCCTGACATAGGTGCTGGGAACTGAACTCTGGTTCTCTGCAAGAGCAACAAGTACTCTTTTTAAAAAAAATTATTTATTATTTTTATTTTGTGTGCATGAATATATTGCCTGCATGTATGTAGTAGTTCCACCCATGTCATGCAGTATTCACGGAAGTCAGAAGAGGGCGTCGGATCCCCTGGAACTGGACTTACCAACAGCCATTAGCTACCATGTGGGTGCTGGGAATTGAACTTGGGTCCTCTGCAAGAGCAGCCAGTGCTCTTAACCACTGAGACATTTACCACTGAGACATTTCTTCAGCCCCTGGCTTTAAAAAGAAGAAGAGAAGCATGCAGAGTTGGCATGTTAGTGAAGAGCTATGCTGTCCTGGATAGCATCACCATGGCAGAAGAGAGAATGGACTAATATCCATAAGTTGAACCAAGCCTCCTTTTTTGATTGTTTTGTTTTGTTTGTTTTTGAGACAAGGTCTCACTGTAGCCCAGGCTGGCCTTGAACTCAGAGAGATCCATCTGCCTCTCCCTCTGGAATGCTGGGATTAAAGGCACACCCTATCTACCTTGGTTTATAAGAACTAGTAAAAGTTTGAGGGTAGGTCACACATAGTGGTGAATATCTATAATTTCATAACTTGGGAGATGGAGGCAGGATCAAGAGATCAAGGACATTAAAAACAAAAGTATATATATATATATA